TTGTTATGCAGTTTTGTACATTGTAACTTTTTTCCTGGCGGAAGCTAGGATAATATACATGTACAATTATACAGTTTATATTTGAACAGTTTTCCATTATGCCTCTGATAGTCAGTAGTGTGTGAGTTGCTCTGCTGAGCAGTGTGAAGTGAACTCCATCTCCCTGCATGCTGTTGACAGGCCAGTGGACGTGGTTGGCAGGATCTAGGCCAGAGGCTTGTCTGAAGCCCCTTATTCAATGAGTTGTGACTTGCTTAGACAAAGGAAACAGAGCTGCTTTCTAACTGTCTGTTTGTGTCGCCTCTGCAAGCTTGTTATGCTGTCCACTTTCAGAGATTTAGCCAGACTTCATACAGTGCAATAGCCTATGCTGTCTGGATATATTGCATGCACAACAAAACACTTGCTCTTCCGGAGCTTATAAAATAAAAAAAATATTCTATGCTACTTTTATAAACAATTTTGTGGTAAAACAAAAAGGTAGCACAATGGAATTAATTTCATTCAACAGAGACTGCTGTTTTCACACAAAGGTTTGATTGCCTCATTTGAACTTCCCCTTGCCACCACTGATCTCTATTCACATTGTAATTTACACATTATACATTATATTATGCAGTGCTGGGTAGTAACTGATTACAGGTAATCTGGATTTAAAAGAATAGTAATCAGATTAAAAAAAGTAAGTAATTGTAATTAGATTATATTACATTATAAAATGCTTGTAATCAGACTACAGGTCATTTTGTATTGATTACTTGTTATTCTCACAATGGCAGTAAATTATTCATAATTTATTGATTCCACTTCTTTGTGAAAATTCTCCTTTCTATAAAATTTTCTGTCCACACTCACACCCCAAACTGCCATATCTAGTTACTTATTAAAAAAATGAAAGTAATTTGCATTTTTGCGAATATGGGTGTGTGTAATTTGGGAACCAAGGGCCAATAAAATATGTTCCCGTGGTGGCTATGTATGTAGGAAATATATATATAAAAAAATAAAAAAAACACTCTTGGTTGAATAACTTTCTCTTTATTAAACTGAATGCTAACAAAGATGGTATAAAATAAACTATTCATTTAAATAAAATATTGTTTTAATTACATATATGATTCGATCTAACTCTGACAGTTTTATGTAATGTTTCATAATAATCTTTTAGTGTAAAATTTGTTAAATTCACTTTTTACTAATGATGCACCATTTTTTCCCCCCACCGAAAAACTGTAAGCGAAATTAAAGATTAAATACAATTACAAATGTAACATGCCTATATAATACATTACTTTGGGCTGGGCGATATGGCCAAAAAGTTGTCACAATAAAATCTTCCATATCAGTTTATATCAATAATTATCACGATAATTATCACAATTGTCACATCTGCCAGATGGAGTACCCATGATTTCCACCAGAGAGCACTCCTCCCTAGTCAATTGCTATCAGATCATGTACTTCATTTGCGATAACTCATTGCCTGGACTCATGATGTTGTGATTATGTTCAGCTGTGTCTCATTATCTTGTTAAACTCTGCCTAAATAAGCCCTGTATTTTCACTTTGTGAACGTTGCATACTTTCCTTGATAGCACATGTATATCACGTCTATTTGTTGTGTGTGTTTACATCTGTTTGTTCATCTGCAATAATACGTCAATAGGACTTTTCCCATCAGATGTCAAATAGATATTTAGAAAATGTCTTTAAGACGTTTATGATTTAGAATGTATGTAAAATTGACATCTTAAAGACATCTATCAGATGTTAGTAAACAGCAGATGGCTTTTGCGAGTTCTTGTAGGTGTCATAGGCCTACCGCATTTCTGAGCGCTCTCTTCCTGATGTGTCATGGTTTTTGAGCTTCTCCTCTTTGCCTGTGTTTTTCTGCCCTGTTGTCTTTTTGGATTATCTGCCCTGTGTTTTGACCTAGTGGTGGGAGAAACGAAGCTTTTCAAAGCTTCGATTCAATTGAACCAATTGCTTTGGGAAATCATTCACTGTTTCGAAGCGCCACACGGTGGTGACGCCTGCTTTTCAGAACAGTGGAAATGCAACAAAATGCAGGCCAAACATGCATAAAAACACATTTTATAAACACACTGCAAATGTTTTATTTTAAGTAAAATCTATCAAATGCAATTCACTTATCATCTAATAAGATTAATTATCAAGTGTCTATGATATGCAGTCTTTCATTGATTTGTAGTGCTTTTTTTGTTTGTTCTATTGATGGCTCAGCTAAACAGGCCAATAAGAAACTATAAACTACTATTATTCCTTTTAATCATACTAATGTCTCATTAAAATGTCTACAACTGTATAAAACTGACCAGAGATCAGTGAATCCGCAGTAGCCCCGCAGACCCCTTAAGACACAGCCCCTCCTCATTTGCATAATGAGGTAGAAATGCATACAGAAATGTAAAAACGACAGGCAGAAATAAATAGCATTGAAGAAATAAATAGGGTAAAAAAATACAAAGGAAGAATAAAACAGACAAAAATATTATAACATGCACATAAATAAATACTTAAAAAAATAAGTAATTAATAAATACAGTTCAAGATTATAACGGACAATAAATAAATAAGGTAATTATTACAAAGGTAAATAAATAAAGAAGCTAATTAAAAGAGGTATATACATTTATGTCTCACTGTATAATTTAATTTCTACCTACATTTATTTGTTTATTGTATTTTTTGGGGCAATTAATTGTATGCTTATTTATTTATTGAGCATTTATTTATTTCTGTATTTATTTTTAAATATGGTAGAGTTGGTCCTCCATATTTTTGCTATCAGTGTGATAACTTTTTATCTCAAACTTTTTTTTTTCTCTCAGATCATTTATTTTCTCACATGTAATAAAGACACATTAATAGCTCCATACTGTTCTGTCTCTGTCTGACAATGATGGAGAGACTCAAGAAGAAGTGACAACATGTAGAATGCAACAGGATGTTTCTGAATGGTTAGTTGATGAATTTATGTTGCTGACGTGGAGTTAACTATCTTCAAGTCATTTATTAGCATATTCTGTCATGATAATCTATAACATTGCTCATGGAACCGTTGTAAGATGCATACAGAGTGAAATGCTATTGCATTTGTGTTACGTACTGTATTGCATGTGAAAAGACGGATGCGACAACTTGAGGAGACTCACAAATGTGCTGTACTACAACAACTCTTCCTCTTCTCAACATGGACTGTGTTCCCCCATGGACGGGGTTTATGTAAATTTTAGGGTTAGTGATGTCACTAACCCGGGAGGAATGTCGTGTAGTCAAGTCAAGTCATCATTTATATAGCGCTTTTAACAATGTAGATTGTTTCAAAGCAGCTTTACAGAGATAAACACACAATTTACGGTAACAGAGATTGTTTTGGCTTTATAGCGATTTTTGAATAATGTTATTTCCAGCTAAAGGTAGTTTTGATTGATTCACTTCCAGCAAAATTATCATTTGTTATTACATTAGGGGCCACTAAGACGACGGCGTTCTCTCTAAACAGACTTTAAACACGAACCTGTGACCTGATGGCGTTCACATGCGTTCACACGTAATTTACCTACAAACCATGCCTAAACAAACTACTTGTCTTGCCTATACATTAGATAAAGAATTTTGTTTTATTTTATCACTTCGGGTTACGCGAACCAGATTTTCAACAACGCTTTATCTGTAGAGTGGGAAAGGGATCCTCCAGCCGTTTGTTGTAGTCCTTAAAAAACAATTTCTTTAAAAGCAAATATCTTCCTTTGCTTTGAACTTTGAGTGTTAGTACTTTGCAGATGTCATTAATGCTCAAACAGCAACATTACACACTAATTAAAGTTTGAAAAGTGAAATCATAATCAACCCCCACTTTAATACATTTAATACATGTCTACATTAATAATAATAAAATTCGATTTGAATATCCCACATGTCTGCCACAATACCATGGTGCAGTTAGTGTTACTTCAGTAATCCACGGTAAATGATGGCGATTTGTTGAATGAAAAGCCTTGTGACTGTATTGTTGTGCACAGTGTTTCTCCTGTTTGTCAGTTCTGTTTCATCTGGCTTTAGTTTAAACCACTGAGACATTGGTTTAAACCAAAGTGTGAGGACCAAAAAATGCTATTTGTATGGTGACAGATAGTAAGCATTTACAATGATGTACATCAGTTGGGTTGTTGAGCAGCATTTCTTTCTCAGTTATGCTGTGGGTTTCACTTGTTGACCGGAAATGGCAGCTTGGAGGCAGTGAGTGGGATATTCCTTCCTGGCACAGTTTGTGTGTGTGCGTGTTTTACTGGTAACTTTAGTTCACAATCGGTGTTTGTGTTTACAATATCACAATCTATGTTTGTGTTTACAGCTTATTACAATCTATTAATTATTCTTTTTATGGTTATATAACAGTTGATTATATTTTTCCTTGACTATCATGTTGATTTTGTTGTTATGTTTCAAACATTTTCTTTATAGGTAGAACAGTCATTTCTAATGGGTCTTAATCGTGGTTATGGTGCTACTGATTGGTACTCATTTCTATGGGACTTCCACCCCCTCAAGTCAATGATGAGATTAAAACTATAATGGATTAATCACTGAAAGTCTGTGAATAGCTTAATTAGATTACATTCCAAGAACTCTCAACTTCAATTTTAGCATTTGCTCTGCATAAAACTCAAGCAGAAAAGGGTTTTCTCTGTCATACAAATGTCCCTTCTCACTCACACTGGTAAATAGTCTTGACTTTCATTTGTATTGAATAAATGTGATTAGTGTTTTCTCTATTGGGCAGTTCTGACTCTGAATCTCTCTCTCTCTCTCTCTCTCTCTCTCTCTCTCTCTCTCTCTCTCTCTCTCTCTCTCTCTCTCTCTCTCTCTCTCTCTCTCTCTCTCTCTCTCTCTCTCTCTCTCTCTCTCTCTCTCTCTCTCTCTCTCTCTCTCTCTCTCTCTCTCTCTCTCTCTCTCTCTCTCTCTCTTTCTACCAGGCGGAGGCAAGACTGGCAGCTAAACGGGCAGCCCGGGCAGAAGCTCGAGAAATCCGGATGAAGGAATTGGAGAGGCAACAGAAAGAGGTCAGGAGATAATCTGTTTGGCAGACTGTTACAGTTCTACTTTCTTCTTAGGCTATAACAAATAGCCTGTTGTATGGTTCTACATAGAATTTCACACTAGCTTTAAGCAGATACATACAAGCAAAAGTACAATTACTAAATTCTAATTTAGTAAATATCTTGTATCATTAAATAATACTAAATAATTGTCGCAGAATAATCGCTCAATATATTGTGCCTAATGCCTGCAACCCTGTAGATATATTCAGAACAACATCACTCTTGCTTGTGTGAAATCTTTTAAATGAACACTTACCTGATAATGTTCCAGTGGAAATGTTAAGAAGTTAATATTGAGAACTTAAATTTTAAAGGCAATATTGACATTTTTGTTTTTGTTTTTGCTCCGCCAATGAAAAAAACTAAAAAAGCCTAAGCAGAATCAACTGTTTCATGTCTCCTTCACCACACAGTTGCAACGTATAGTAATTGTTTAGTGGATGAATCAGTGCTTTTGAACGAGTCAGCTTAGTGAATGATTCATTCACTCACTCGTAATAAGGTTATAATGTAGCCTGCAGATAGGGTTTGAAAATTTCCACCACTAATACACAACAAAAAAAAAAAAAAAAAAAAAAAAAAGTGGAGTGAAATGGTTCTCCGGGACGAAAGATGTGTGAATTCTCTTTAATTCTCATAAACCACCTATACATTAAAGTACAGTACCACTCTCAGAATTAAACTGGAGCAGAAACATATTCATGATTTAAACATCTTAAAGTTGTGACGCAGAGATTTCTTTTTAATAAATATTCCTTTTTCTTGCATAAAGGTTTTGCTTAGCATATAGAAAAAAGGGGGGATGCGTTTGATCATGGATCCTAGTCTGTTTGTGTGTTTGTGTGTGTGTGTGTGTGTGTGTGTGTGCTGGTGTTAGCCTTTGCTAGTCTGTATTAGTAAACTAAAGATGTGATATGTAGTGCCGAGTACGACTTATGAGGTGAGTGTGTGAATGTTATTACTTGTTTTCACATACATTGGAGGTATATCCTTTATTTAGTAAATGTATTGTCATGTGACTTTTTTGGTGTTTTAAGAGATCATATTTCAGAATAGCTTCTTTGATAATTTTTAGCATAAAAGTACAAATATTTGGGGTTGTCGTTTAGAGTGTTCTCTGCTATTGTGTGTGTTTAAATATACTGTAAATTGGACCGATAATACATCACTGTTCAAAAGGTTGGGGTCAGTAACGTTTTTTAATTGAAAAAGTCTCTTATGCTCACCAAGACTGCATTTATTTAATGAAAAATACAATGAAACAGTAATAATTTGTAAAATTTCCGGATTCAGTACTATTTCCTGAAACAGAAAATATTATTACAATTTAAAAGAATGAGCATTTTTTTATAATTAATATAATTAAAAATGTATTCCTGTGATGGCAAAGCTGAATTTTCAGCAGCCATTACTACAGTCTTCAGTGTCACATGATCCTTCAGAAAACATTTTAATATACTGATAACTGAAACAGTTCTTCTTATTATTAATCAATTTATTATTATTATTATTATTAAAGCTGAAAAAGTTCAGTGCATCGTGATCAATTGCTAAATTTAAATGTGATCCCCTAGGATATTGTTAATTTGTTGGCATTTTGATTTTTAGAAGGCTTTTGAGAATGTTTTGGGTTGTGTAAATGGTGTGCAGGTTATAAAAATTACAGATTTTTATTCTTTATACCAGCTCTATCCTGATTTATTTACAAATGATCCCTATAGTCTCATTTAAGCTCTTTAAATCTTTCTCTTACTGTCTCACTTTCTTTCTTTCTTTCTCTTCATCCTGGTCTCCCTGCTGTTTAATTAGATATATCAAGCGCAAAAGGTAAGATCTGTCCCTCTAACAGTCCTCATATTTGATCATTAGAAATGCAACCTGTAGTATTTTGCATTGTTTTATTAACATCAGGTTATAAAAATACAGCTAAAGCTTGAGGAAGAAATAAACAAGACCAGTCTCAAACCAAGTTCTCTTGCAAACCTGTTTTTAACATCCTCCTATACTTTCATTATAACCCTTCCTCATTTGATCGTCTTGCTCTCCTCCTCTCTGCACCAGAAATACTATGGGCTGGACAACAAATGGGGCCATATTGAACAGTGGATGGTATGACCTGTTATTATACCACACTGCTGCATGCAATAGACCGCCAAATATAGAATTCGAATTAGAAATAGGTCCCACACAGCACATGTCCCGAATGCAGTTAATCAAACCCTAACTATCACAATGTATCCTTCAGAGAATGAAATGTGATTGGTTGGTGTTGCATGTCTCTCAGGCAGTCTGTGTCTGATCCTCATTTCACAGGCTTTACTGGAGCAGTGGGGGGCAGGAGGCCCATCTGACATGTTAGGGCTTAGTAGAGGTGGTCATAACATACAGCAGGATTATAGGGCGGTCGCGTGACCCACATCTTAAAGCACTCAACCCTCCCCTCCCACCCCTCCAGACACCCTGTCTGAGCCCTGTAATAAACCGTGATATGACAGACAGCGTAATCTCTCAGTGCATGCTTTGTTGTTCAGTTTTTGCAGTGTTTGATAGTCATGTGACCTTTTGACCTAAAACTTCCTGCTTTCTGTCCTATTTTCCCGCTCTGCTTTTCAGGAGGACAGTGAGCGGTATTCCCGCCACTCTCGGAGACATACTTCGGTCTGTATCTCTCCATCTGCTTTTTGTCCTACACGATTATTCCGTTTTTTAATATTTCCTTAGTCCCATTTCCCCCCTTTTTCCCCTTCTTCCGCATTTGGTCCTCTTCTTCATCACTCACTTCCTACATTTTATTTTTGCTAAAGGCCTGTAGTGTGTTCTTAACAGATGTCAGATGTACTTCACCCAAAAATGAAAATCACTTAATCAAATTTATGATGTTAAAAAACAATATTTCATGCTAATTTCCATGTGGTTACAGTGAACAGGGACCGAAGCTTTCAAGCTCATCATAAAACTGTCATACCTGTCATAAAAAAGTGTCATAAAAATAGTCCATACAACTCTTCCAATATAAAAACTTTGTGTGAAAAACAATGTAGGCTAACACACACACACACACACACGCATGCACGCACGCACATACACACACACACACACACACACACACACATTTACCATCTAAATGGTTACATATAGTTTTTTTCATGGAAGCTTATTTCTGCCACAGTAATTGCAACTTTTTATCCCAAAATTCTGACCTTTCTTCTTGCAATTGCAAGTTTATATCTCACAATTCTGACATTATTTCTTGCAAGAAATAAAGTAAAAATTGCGAATTATAAACTCGGAACTGTAAGAAATAAAGTCAGAATTGTGAGATATAAACTTGGAATTGTTAGGGGGAAAAAGTCAGAATTAGAGTTATAAAGTACAAAATGTGAGATAAACTTGCAAGTCGCAATAACCTTTTTTTTTGTGGTGTAAACAAGCTTCCATAGTTTTTATATAGCCTATAGCTAGTTATGAATACTATAACCCTAAAATATGTAGGTACACACAAAATGTTAATTATATTTTTCTTTTAATAATTCATTGATAAGAAATGTTATTATGCATTTAATTCTATCCTTTTGTGACCCACATTTGCTATAGAAATACACTGGTTTACCCAAAGCACAGTTCTAAACTCCCTGTTTTCTTTGTCTTCCTGTCTCAGATATCAGATGATGAGGAGCGGATGTCTGTTGGCAGTCGGGGGAGTTTGAGGGTTAGTATACCTGTGATTCCTCCTATAAAGCTTTTCATTTGGATGATACAAAATGCTAAAAAAAAAACTGGAGATTTTACACCAGTTCCTACTGTTTAACACACAATTTGAAGAGTGGTAGTTTACTTTCTCTTAATTTTAATCTTATGTCACTTAAATAAAAACAGATATTCAGGACTTACACTACTGGTCAAAAGTTTGGAATCATTTTAATTAAGAATTTTTTTATTTTGTTTTATGATGATGCTTACCAAGACTGCATTAACCCTCTGGGGTCCTTCGGCCCAAATGGACCCGAAGCATTTAAATTTTTTTTTTTTTTTAATCATAGCTTTATCGGAATGGTCCGAAATTTGGTGACTTTGTTGGTACTTGGTATATGAACACCCCAAAAAAAATTGGGGACAGGATTTGAATAGTCTAAGTGGTTGTAAAAAAAATAGTCACACTCAGGACCTTCTGGTCCAAATGGACCCGCATAGGAAATGAATGGGAAATTGGAAAAAATGTGAAAATACAGAGTTTTTTTGTGCGTACAATCTACAAATCAGCCACGATCCAGAAAAAAAGCACACAACAGTGAAGGGGTGAATCTATAAAACATCAAGAGTGCAACACAGACACATCCACACACACACACACACACACACACACACACACACACACACACACACACACACACACACACACACACACACACACACACACACACACACACACACACACACACAAACACACTTTTATACACATACACACTAATAAATTCAGATTACATATGGGTTTTGAATTTTTTAAATGCTCAGTTTGTCCACCAGATGGCATCCATCTCATTTCAAAAATTGCTTTCATGAGGCCTAGGCTTGACTCTAAAATGAAATACAGCTTTAAATAAAAAAAAAAAAAAAAAAAAAAAAAAAAAAAATTATATTATATTCAATGGGGAAAAAATGGGTCATAATTATTGCATTAATGTTAATTATAAATCATTTTTATTTTTGAAATTATCTCAAAACACCAAAAAAGAAAAGAAAAAATATTATAAAAAACAAGTAAAAAAAAAAAAAAAAGATGATTTTTTTTAAATAAATATTAATCCCACCCTTCCGGCCCATTTGGACCCGAGTGTCCTGAGTGTGACTCTGAAATGAAGGACCCCAGAGGGTTAAAAAAACAGCAATATGGTGAAATACTATTACAGTTTAAAATCATTTAAATTTAATTTAAATATATTTATAAATATCATTTTAATTCATGTGGTGGCAAAGCTGAATTTTACGCATCAGTCTTTAGTGTCACATGATCCATCAGAAATAAGCCTAATTTGTTATTAACTCATATCTATGGTCAATAATGGTTCTTATTATTATCAATGTTGAAAACGTCTCGGGTTACGTATGTAACCCTTGTTCCCTGAGAAAGGGAACGAGACACTGCGTCGGTGACGACACTAGGGGAACGCCCTTCAGCGTAGCACGTCTGAATTTATGAATGAAACCGAATCCAATCCTATTGGCGTTGCGTGATGACGTAGCGTGTGACGGCATAAGCGGATGTGTACAAAAGCACGCCGGCACACAGAAAATGTCAGCTTTTGCTATGAAGCAAGTGCTCCAAGCAGGGTGAGGTGTGGCGAACCGACGCAGTGTCTCGTTCCCTTTCTCAGGGAACAAGGGTTACATACGTAACCCGAGACGTTCCCTTTCGAGGGAACTCGAACTGCGTCGGTGACGACACTAGGGGAACGAGATACCCACTATGCCACAACGAACCCCGCTCATCCTAGTGTGAAGCTGTCTTCAGGCACAACTTAGGACGAAAGCACTCGTGCACCGGGTGTAGAGGGAAGGTCCAGACTGTAAAACCTCATGAATGTGTGCGGAGTGGCCCAGCCAGCCGCCTCACATATGTCATGGATAGAAACCCCTGAAAGGAGGGCTCTAGAGGACGCCATGCCTCTGGTGGAGTGAGCCCTCACGGCCATAGGTGAAGGCAAATTGCGCACCTGATAGGCCAGGGAAATAGTCTGAACGATCCAGTTGCTGATGGTCTGCTTAGAGGCGGGAAGCCCCTTCTTGGGAGACCCAAAACACACCAGCAACTGGTCCGACTTCCGCCATGAGGAGGACTTCTGGATGTAATACTGAAGTGCTCTGACAGGGCAGAGCAGATGAAGTCTCTCCTCATCCGCCGTCACATGAGGCGGAGGATGAAATGCCTGCAGAACCAAAGGCCGTGCCACATTAGATGGCACCTTGGGCAAATAGCCAGGCCTGGGGTGAAGGATGGCCTTAATGTTGCCGGGAGCAAACTCCAAGCACTCATTGGAAATAGAGAGCGCCTGGAGATCTCCTACCCTCCTCAGAGAAGTAATAGCCAACAAAAAGACCACCTTGAAGGTCAGGTTCTTGGCCTCAGCCGACTCCAATGGTTCGAAGGGGGCCTCGGCCAGCCCTTCGAGCACCACTGCCAGGTCCCAAGAGGGAACCCTGGTGCGAGTCGCAGGTCTCATCCTCCAGGCTCCACGGAGGAAACGTACGACCAGGTGATGCCTCCCCAGAGGACCATCACTCAGAGGAGCGTGGAAAGCCGCAATGGCAGCCACATAAACCTTGAGTGTGGACGGGGTAAGCCCGGCAGAAAAGCGGTCTTGGAGAAACTCCAGTACTGAAGCCACTGGGCAGTTAACTGGGTCCAAATCACGCTCTCTGCACCAAATGGAAAATACATTCCACTTAAGGCCGTATAATTTCCTCGTGGAGGGAGCTCTGGAAGTTAGTATAGTCTCAACTACTTCTGCTGACAGGCCGGCTTCTGGGTACTGTGCCCCCTCAGGGGCCAGACCCACAGTTTCCACAGCTCGGGCCGAGGGTGGAGAACTGAGCCCCCCGCCTGAGACAACAGGTCCCTCCTCAGAGGGATCTGCCATGGCGGGCCTGCCAGAAGCAAGATGATGTCCGAGAACCATACTCGGGCCGGCCAAAACGGGGCTACTAATAGTAGGCTGACTCCGTCCTGACGGACCCTTTCCAGAACTGCTGGGAGCAGAGCGATTGGGGGAAAGGCGTACAGACGCAGCCTCGGCCACGTCTGCACAATGGCATCCAACCCCAGCGGGGCTGGATGTGTGAGGGAGAACCACAGTGGACAGTGTGTCGTCTCTCGAGACGCAAATAGGTCCACTTCCACTGGGCCAAACCTCTCGCATACTAACTCCACCACCTCGGGGTGGAGTCTCCATTCCCCGGGCCTCAGCCCCTGCCTCGACAGCATGTCTGCTCCCTGGTTCTGGTCCCCCGGGACATACATCGCCCTGAGAGACGACAGTCTCCGCTGGGACCACAGGAGGATCTGATGCGCCAGTCTGCACAGAGGGCGCGACCTCAGACCCCCCTGATGATTTAAGTAAGATACCACCGACATGTTGTCGGATCTTACTAGGACATGGCGACCATGGAGGTCTGGCAGAAAGCTCCTCAGAGCCCGGAACACCGCCAACATTTCTAGGCAATTTATGTGCCAAGAGGAATGTTGGTCCTGCCAGAGACCTCTCGTAAAACGGCCGTCCATGACCGCGCCCCAGCCCGTGAGGGAGGCGTCTGTCGAAATAGATATCCGGTGACACGACGCTCCCAGCCTGGGACCCTGGGACAAGAACCAAGGCTTCTTCCAAATTGATAGGGAACGAAGGCATCTGCGCGTAACCCTTATCAAGCGGAATGGATTTCCCCTCGGGGAAAACCCCTTGGCTCTTAACCACCACTGCAGGGCTCTCATGTGCAGCAGGCCAGAAGGTATCACGCTGGACGCTGCTGCCATTAGACCCAACACTCTCTGAAAGTGTTTGACAGTGACGGCCTGGCCTAGCTTTATCCTGGACACTGAGGTCAGGATAGACTCGATCCGAGCAGGAGACAATTGTGCCTGCATCGTGACTGAGTCCCACACCACTCCCAGGAACGTGGTTCTCTGGGCTGGTGTCAACACGCTCTTCTTCGTGTTGAGTCTCAACCCCAGGCTCTGGATGTGGGCGAGGACGACATCTCGATGCCGAATCGCCAGCTCTCTCGACTGTGCCAGTATTAACCAGTCGTCGATGTAATTGAGCACCCTGATGCCCTCGAGCCTCAGGGGTGCTAGAGCTGCATCCATACACTTGGTAAAGGTGCGAGGGGAGAGTGCTAGGCCGAACGGAAGAACCCGATATTGGTAAGCTTCGCCCCCGAAAGCAAACCTCAGGAACTTCCTGTGAGATGGAAGGATGGAGATGTGGAAGTAGGCGTCTTTTAGATCTATCGTGACAAACCAATCCTCGGATTGGATTTGATTCACGATAATGGGAATAGTGAGCATTTTGAACCTGAATCTCCTCAGAGACCGATTCAGATGCCTCAGATCTAAAATTGGACGCAACCCTCCATCCTTCTTTGGAACTATGAAGTACCGGCTGTAGAACCCGGACTCTCTGACTAGTGGGGGAACACGCTCTATGGCCCCTTTTTCTAGCAGCGAGTTGACTTCCTGTCCCAACACCAGACCCTGCTCTGGGCGCACTAACGTCCAGACCACCCCGTTGAATTTCGGTGGGCGGACCTGGAACTGTAGTCTGTACCCAATTTCCACAGTGCGCAGGACCCATGGAGAAATATTCGTGAGGTTTTGCCATGCCTCTGCGAAATTCACCAAGGGAACCAGCCCCTCGGGGCTGGTGTCCAGTGTTTTGTGTAAGCCCTTGGCGGCACCCTGAAGCGGAAGACCGGCAGGGGAAAACCGACAACGACCCACAGTGTGCGAGCGCGAACGCTGTCTGACTGCAAGCCTTTGGGGCAGAAAAGACAGCGTGTGCTCGCTGGAAGCTGGCGCGTCCCGATGCGTCAGAGACGGCGGGATACTGACGCCAGCTTCCTGAGGGCCCGACGAGAGAGGGGACCTCGGTCGCTCTCTCTCGGGGGGGGCGGCCCTTGGAGGTCCCACAGGAGTTAGGACCTCTTTCCCTTCGCCTTCCTGGACTGGATGACGGTCCTCAGATCCGTCCTTCCAGCAGGCTGTGGGTGAGAGCGCTGCCTAGGGTCCCAAGCTGCTTGAGGGGGACCTCTAGAAGCGACACTCCCTCTTTGGCCCTGGCGATAGGAGCTGGATGACGGCTGTGGCTGTTTTGACCCTCTAGCAGCCGACTTCCTAGACCTCGACCGGCGAGGGAGATATTGCCTAAACGCTTCACTCTGCTTTTTAGTGTCCTGAAATCTGTCGACGACAGCATTAACCGCCTCGCCGAACAGACCAGAGGTACAAATGGGTGCATCAAGAAGAAAAGCCCTGTCCTTCTCCTTGATGCCAGAGAGATTAAGCCACAGATGCCTCTCCGTGGTTACCAGAGCTGACATGGAGCGGCCGATGGCGCGGGCCGTCTCCTTGGTAACCCGGAGAGACAAGTCTGTGGCTTTACGAAGCTCGGCAACATCCTCCCTAGTAGGACCCTCGCCCTGGTCCATGTCTTTTAAGAGGTCGGCCTGGTACGCCTGCAGAATGGCCATCGTGTGCAGGCTCGCACCAGCCCGACCTGCCGCCATATAGGCTCTGCCCACCAACGCAGATGTAGTGCGACATGGCTTGGAGGGCTACGCCGGCGTCTTAAGGGACGATGCAAGATCGGGTGAGAGGTAACTGGCTAAAGCTTCCTCAACCCGAGGCATCGTTCCATAACCATTCTCTCTAACCCCCATAATGTCACTATAGTTCAACATCGGGGGGTTAGACAGGCGCGCTGAAAAGGGCCTGTTCCAGGATTTACACAACTCGTTGTGTAAATCCGGGAAGAATGGTAGAGACCGCCGTGGAGGATGTGCACGGTGCTGCAGGAAGCGCTCGTCGAGTTTACTTCTGACTCGCTCTTCCTGCCTCTCCTGTGGCCAACTAATATGTAGTTTAGTCACAGCCCGTGTCACCACCTCCAAAAGCTCATTATAGCTGGGCGCAGTTTGTGTGTGTGTGTGTGCTTCATGCAGATCCCCCTCCACAATGCTGAGCACATCTAATTCCTCGGAATCAGACAGCTGCAGCACTGGGTCTACATCCCGAACGGGAGAAGCCGCGGAGCGGGCTCCCGAACGGGGGATAGGGGAATCTGAGCTTTCAGATGAGGATTGGGAAAGTGCCTCGGCAGTCCCGACCCCCTCTGAAAGCTCCCTTTGCGAACCCCACGATCTAAGTCGCCGCATCGCCTCGGCAGATGCGGGACCTGAACCGCGGGGAGCGCGCATCTGGCCATCCTCAGAAAATAAAGCCAGACGGGAACGCAGCACTCTCATAGAAAGAGAATCACAGTGGCCGCAAGCAGCCCCCTCGAGAGCTGCTTGGGCGTGCTGCATTCCTAAGCAAGCCACACACATCTCGTGTGTGTCCCCAGCCGTGATAAAGCGAGGGCACGGGAATACACAATTTTTAAACTGCTCACTCATTCTCAAAATAGATCAGAACTGAGACAAACAACACCAAATAGGACAAACTGATTTCAACACAACACAGAGCGCTTGCTGAATAGCAAAAAGCTGACATTTTCTGTGTGCCGGCGTGCTTTTGTACACATCCGCTTATGCGTCACACGCTACGTCATCACGCAACGCCAATAGGATTGGATTCGGTTTCATTCATAAATTCAGACGTGCTACGCTGAAGGGCGTTCCCCTAGTGTCGTCACCGACGCAGTTCGAGTTCCCTCGAAAGGGAACAGTTTTTTTCTGCTTAATATTTTTGTTGAAACCATGATACACTTTTCCAGGATTATTTGATGAACAGAAACATCAAAAGTACAGCATTTATTTAAAATAGAAAGCTTTTAGTAACATTTTGCCTCATTTTTAAATGTGTCCTTGCAGAATAAAAGTCTTTCCCAAACTTTATGGGAAGTTATATACAGTTTCCACAAAAATATTAAGCAGCAAAAAATGTTTGCAACAATAACAATGATAAGAAATGTTTCTTTAGCGGCAAATCAGCATATACAAATGATTTCTGAAGGATCATGTGACACTGAAGACTTGAATAATGATTCTGAAAATTCAGCTTTGCCATCATAGGACTAAACACTACATAAACACATTTTAAAATATATTAAAATAGAAAAGTATTTTAAATTGTAAAACATAACAAAATCGCAATTAGCCTATTCTAAACTTTTGAGCGGTAGTGTAAGCAAACATCAGTGAAATGCAAAGAGAAACAATGTTAGTAAAATAGCTGATGAAATTGGTAACAGAATAATGAATCCAGACTCTGTGCGACTGCCGTTTGCACACAGAGTCCTTTCACTGCTTGTTCCCTCTTTCATTCATTCTTCATCACACTTGTGCAACAATCTGTCACCTCAGCTATTTTCATGGGGCTTTTTTTATTTCTCATTCTCACATTGTTCTTTTGTCCTCCTCTGCTTACCGTAGGGTAACCACACAGATCTCTGCAGCAGCACCAGCAGTCTGCCTTCAGCCAGACTACAAAATGGACGGGTCTGTCCCTCTCACAATCCCTAGCAATCCCTCTTTATTCCTGCCTTTAAAATTAGTTCCCTTCCTCATTGTTTTATCTTATAACCCTTTCTTCATTTTGCCCACTCCTCTTTCCTCGTTCATCTCACAGGGACACTTTTTTTCAAACAACTGTCAGTCGACCACAACTGTTCCAAATTGATAGACTTTGTAATCAAAACTATTCAACTTTCATTGCAAATAAGGTTTATTGGCAAAATTCACAGACTTACAGCTGTTTTCAATTAACAAATCAAACAAAAGTAATTGAAATAGTTCAACACAACAAATGTTTCAAGTGGTTTCCCCAAATTCAACTGAAAATGCAACTTTTAATGACTTCTGCAGTCTTAAAATTATTCAACCCTTTCATGGCAAGCATCTTTTGTATGTAGTAGAACACCCTTTTGCTGATATGTACCTGCTGCAAACAAGATGTATAACCAGACATCAGCTTCTGGCAGCGTTTCTGAGGAATCTTAGTCCATTCCTCATGAGAAATGGCCTCCAGTTCAGTAATATTCTTGGGTTTGCGTGCTGCGACCACCTTCTTCAAATCCCACCAGAGATTTTCTATGGGGTTTAAATCAGGTGACTTTGATGGCCACTGTAGAATCTTCCAGGACTTCTTCTCTTAACTTTTTGGACCATTATTTTGACTTAGCCATATTTCTAACATGCAGTCAAAAGTAACACACAACAACAAACCTAGCCAGTTCAGGTATTTCATGTGTTCTAGCTCAAGCAAACCTGCTGCAACTAATGAGGCCTTCATTAGTTGCATCAGATGTGCTTGAGACAACACCTGTTTTGCTGATTTGTGATGTTGTGGGGGATTCTATTCAGGGGGTTGAATAATTTTGGATCTGCAGAAGTCATTAAAAGTTGCATTTTCATTTCAATTTGGGGAAGCCACTTCCCAACAGCTATTTCAATTAGCGTACTTTGGTTTGATTTGTTCACTGCAAACACCCGAAAGTCTGTAAATGTTGCCAAAAAATCTGAATTGCAATGGGGGTTGAATAATTTTAATTAAAACTATATTGACTTTTTGAGATTAAAAAATCAATTTAAGTGATTGTATAAGCAACTCTAGAATCCAAAGGACTGAAATTTTGATTTTAACTTAACTAAACAAAAACATTTTGCTGTATATTGCGGTACATTCTTAAGTACTACATTACCCACAATAGCACTGTGAAATCCACCAATCAGAGAAGTCGTTGTTACTAAAACTAGCACTGCATCTTAAGGTGCGACCACATTAGCAAAACTTCTATGAAATTTTGTGAACTAAAAAAGTCCATTATTAATAGTGTAGCGATGTATGAAGCATCGCTCAGCCAGAACTTACTTTGACAATTTTGAACCCAATGCAATGGAAATGTTTCGCCCTCAAGCACATGGTTTCCTATCAAAATTATTTTTATTTTGGTCACAAACTTTTTCCAAACATCTGTAAATGTGTCTGCACCTTAATTTCTGCCTTAAAAAGTAGTCAAGGTTAGAATTAGTAAATTCCAAATTTTCCCCCTGTGGTGAAAATCAAGTTTTTAATTTTGTTTATATGTCTATGTGGTGTTTTAAATATGCTTTAAGACAAACCAAGTGCCAATTCATAAGTCAACACAATTGCTGAGTATTTTCTCCTTAAAACGGCAGTGTACCAAAGACAGTCTCAAAAACGCCGTTTGAAATCTCTGGTGTTTTTGACGTCACAAACTACCTTGTAACCAATTACGTCAACCTGTGGATCTCTGAGCTGTGAGTGAGTGGAGGCAGGGCTAATTTGCATATTCATAGAACCGCGTATACTAAATGAGGCAAGGGTGTATAGATACATTCAAGCTATTTTAAGCCATGAATATTTTTTTTCAAGGAAAAAACTTGTAAAATGTAATTTTGGTGATCAAAGATGAGTTTTAAGGGATACAATTATTAACTACAGGCCAGATTATATACAGTACTATTTCTGGTATAAGTTTGAATTCCATTATTTTGATTGAATGTAGCTAAATGCTAATTCTTACATGCAAATGCAAACAGTAAAATGCACATTTTACTTTCTATTTTAAACGCCTAATGAGAAAATGAATGGAAAAAAAATACTTTCGTAACAAAGAAAGCTGCAAAAGTAAGCTGTCGTTTTTTTTGGTCTATACAAACTTGTTTTAAGATGTGGTGCTGTATTGCTGGTAGGATGTTGCAGGAAGTTGTTTGATAAAATCTGATATTTATTTATTTAGGGGAGAGATTTTTTTTTTTTTTTTTACTTGAAGAATGTATAATATTTAAATGAAATGTTATGAGCATATATTTTTCTTCCTCCCCTCTCTGTCTGTTTTTAGCCCTCTGCGCTTTTTAGTGAACCCCCCCGTTCAAGAAGTCACAGGGTTTGTTTCCAGTTGTCATCTGCATGCAACCTGACATGCAGATTGTTCGTTAACTCTGTTTCATCTTGGTGAATACATGACACACATTGTAATGAACTTAAAGATATAGTTAATCCAAAAATGACAATGATTATGTTGTCTTCGTAACCAATATGAATTTTTTTTGTGTGGAACACAAAAGGAGTGATCTAATAGAGTGTTCAATGAATGATGACATTAATTTTCATTTCTGGGTAAACTATCTCATTTACGGACTTGTTGTGTGTGTTCAATCCCTCATTTGAGCAGATACCTGCATGCAGTGTAGTAAACTGATTCTCAGAATCTTGTGTTGACAAGTTTAAGGCTTCCATAGCCTCTTACTCAGACATCTAACGCAGAAATCAATTCTTTATTTAGTTATCCATAAGTGCTCAGAATACATCAGAGTGCATTAGAGTTGATGGCTAATGTGTTAACTTTCTGTAAACACACAAAGAAGCTTTCTTTGAACTCCTCTGTATGTCATGAGCATTTCCTCCTCATAATGTGTTTAAAGTACATCTTCTCTGGTTGTTATAGCAGCCCTGTTTGATCACATTTCCTGATTGGTAACCATCTTGGATACATAAAGCGGCCATTTAATGGTGTTTATTTTAACTGTTTGTTGTGTTCTCCATGGTTATGTCTGAGAGATATGGAGTCTGTGAGGTGAATGTAGTATGGTGAAGTGTTCTTTTCTGTCTGCAGGGATCACTGCATGAAGAGAGTTCATTCTCTGGCCCTAGGCGTTTCAGTGGCTCCAGTGCTAGAGGCGTAAGGCCCAGTTTTTACCTATCCCTCTGAAAAGGGCATGACCTGATACCCAATTCCAGGCTGGGCTTGTTGAGCTTCTTGCATGGTTCTGTTTTCAGACCACAGGCTTGACTAGGTGTTGTCTGTGTCTGTTTATGTCATGGGCTTCTCTGAGGAAAGTTTGGGAGTCTCCACCCTACTGTTTTTCCCACTCTTGTTGTGCATGGCAGTAGAGTGGGACTGTTGGTGTATGTATGTATGTATGTATGTATGTAAAGCATGCATTTGACGGTTAATCATCTTGGATCGAATATCTTTTTGTCTTTTGTGTGTGGTCGAAATATGGTTGTTTAATAGTCAGACTGATTGACTCTGCATTGCACAGATACCTGCTAATGCTGTGTGTCAGTGTGTTTTTTTTTTTTACCCACAATATGGGTATGGTTTTACACTACTGTTTAAAAGATTGTCCCCCCAAATTAAAAAAATTGATCAAAAGTGACAGTAATTGATACATTTAGTACATTTATATTACTACAGAAGACCTCTGTTTCAAATAAATGCTGCTTTTAATTAATCATTAATTAACATTGATAATAATAAGAATGGTTACTTTAGTACCAAATCAGCATTTTAGAATAATTTCTGAAGGATTGTGTGACTGGAGATTGGAGTGCTGGCTGCTGAAAATTGGATCACAGGAATAAATCACATTTTATTAAAATAGGACCAGTTATTTTAAATTGTAATAATATTTCACAATATTAATGTTTTTTGCTATATTTTTGGTCAAATAAAGGCATTATTGGTGAGCAAAAGAGACTTTCAAAAACATTAGTAAAAACGTACTAGCCCCAAACTTTTGAACAGTAGTGTTAATGGTACTGTGTCATTTTTTTAAACTTTATACTTAGAGTTCCCATATTTTCCCTCTAATGCTCAAAACTAACTCTCTTTCTGCTAACATCTGCTCCTCTGTCCATCTTATTCTGCTTTTTTCTCTATACCTGCTTTTCTGGTCAGCCTTCAGACTACAATGGCTTTCTGGGCTCCAGTTCCAGGGCTTCATCTAGGGCAAGTTCAGCCCGTGCCAGTCCAGTGGTGAGCTTCCCATTTCTATCACTGACCAAGCTTTAGTACTGCAGTTTCACTTTCAAGGTCAAGTCTGTCATCTCTGTAACACATGAAGATCCATGGCAAAAAACTGACCTGTTCTCCTGTTCCTTTGCATATCCTGTTCCTCACTCTGGAATATTCAGTAGGCTATTGTGTGGAATTCACGAGTTTACATGTTAATGAAATCAGATGTAATATTATAATGCGTATTTGGCTTGCTGTCCGGGGGGAGGGCTCCGAGCTCAGAATTCGGCCCGACCCCAGAGTACTCCCCCCATAACCTTAGAGATCATAGGTAACTATGAGCGGACCCAGCCGAATGTGGGGTGAAGGGGTGGTGGTGGGATGCTGAGAAATTAGTCATGAGACAGGAGGTAAGGGAAGGCTTTATTTATACTGGCTTCTTCTTGCGCTGATTGGATGATTACCTGAACATGCTCCTCCCGAACTTTGTTTACATAAAACTTCATTTAGCATTAATCTTGTTTGTGTCTTGCTCCCTCTAGTGAGTAAAGCATGGAACATATCTATAGATGCCCCAATTCTGATGCATTACTGTTTTAAATAAGTATTTCTCATTTAATGTGGATTTGTATAAAGAGTCTGCATGATTTTACATTGTAGCTTCTGCTGAACACGTTTCATTTTTCATACAGGTGGAGGAAAGGTCAGATTTCCTGGAAAAGGTCAGTAGAATAATTTGTTGAATGTTGAATAGATGCACAAACACAATTTTGAATCCATCACAGTGAATAATACCGCAACAAAGTGATCCACCAGACAAAGTAAATATTTAAACTACATCCTCAGGGTTCCAGGACAGCCTCCACCCTCTCGGCTGCCACTCTAGCATCTCTGGGTGGAGGGTTATCACGAAGAGGAAGCTGTGATACCTCGCTTTCAGCTGACACTGAGGCCTCCATACGGGAAATGAAGGTAGTTTTGGTATGTTCATAATACTAAATTATAATGGCCATGATCTATATGTAAATATCTTCATTTTGTTGTCTACTCTCAGGACTCTCTGGTAGAGGTAGAGGAGAAGTACCGTAAGGCCATGGTGTCCAACGCTCAGCTGGACAATGAGAAGACAAACCTGATGTATCAGGTGGACACACTGAGAGACACTCTGATGGAGCTAGAGGAACTTCTGTGTGAGACACGCAGAGAGAGTGAGGAAAAAAACAGGGTAAGGCCTATCAAATGATGAAATCAGTTTTTTGATAAAGAGGGTTTCAATACAAAATCCTGTAGAATAATTGACCCTTTTACAAATATATAATTGTTGTTTTCAAAACAAAATATGAAATTTACATTTTCTGACATAACCCCAAATTTAGAGTAATCCATGAAGTGTAATGAATTTTTTTTTTTTTGACAAAACTACTATGGTGAGACAAAATCTTAGAATGCATACAGATCAAAGAATTAGAGTATTGAAACAAAAATGTTATTTTTTTCTCAGCCTATGACCAAGGAATATATAAATAACATTGCAGAGGCTCACATAGTACACAATTGTACATACAAGAGGAATGAATGGAATATCAAGGAAGTAAATTATTATTATTATACTGGAAAACATCTAAAAATCAAACTCTGTTGGGTCAATTTGACCCCCTTTGGGCATTTTGGGTTAAGTCTGATCATAACTAAACTACTATATGTGGCAATGTTGCATGCTATAGTATAATCAGTTGTATTGAAGTGGTTTTGCAATATGGACATGGTTAGCAGAGAAGTTGTTATCTCTGGTAAACATTTAGTGTGAGTTATCAATCAGGCACACAGCAATATCAACACTCAATATACAGTACACAGACTGTTAATATGCAAATATTACTGACATGCACTCAATCATGCAGATGGTCATTTTAAAAGTCATAATTTGGTTGTCCTTTAAGAAATACTACCATTCAAATAACTGACAGTACGGCTGCTAGTAACCAGGAATATACTGCAAATTTACAATGAATTCTTCAGTACATACTTTAAGGATGGGCATTTTTGACTGTAATGTTTTTAGGAGTGCGAGCGAGAACGTCATGCCCACAATGTCCTAAAGATCCAGTTTGAGGAGATGAAGGAAACACTGAAGCAGAGTGAAGAGTTGTTGACGGTGAGCATCACCAGTAAATGATGGGGCAGTCTTCTGGCTCTTCGTCTTCCTAACATAGATGGATTCTGTTTTTCTTCTCTCATATTTTCCTCTTAATTTTCTTCTATCTACCCATCTATTTTCCTCTGCTTGCCCTCATGGCCGGGGCTCAGGAATCCCAACAGTCTCGTGGGAAGCAGGCGGACTATATTAGAGAGATCTCTGACCTGCAAGAAACATTGGAATGGAAAGATAAAAAGATCCTGGTACAATTACTTTCATGGCCATGTTTCTTTAATCATATCACATCAAAACAATCATCTCTTTTAGGTTTTAACACTTAATAATCACTTAATAATTTCAGAATTCCCTAAATTCTCCTTAGCTTGTGTAACTTATTAACTTAACTTCGTTAAGGACAGAATACTTAATACTGTCACATGTCCCTTGTAGTCTTTCCTAACCTTACAGCTTTCCTTTACTCTTTTGTTCTTCCCTTTCCTGACTTTTCACTTTTGCGGATGGCGTCATTTAGGCCTTAGAGAGGCAAAAGGAATATTCAGACATTATCCATGATGAACGGGAGGCACTCAGTGATGAGGTTTGCCGGCTTAAGGATGCTCTAAAGGTAGAGTAGAAGCAATATTGGCAATCACAGAGATACAGAAGTAGAGATATAGAAGTCATTATATGTAGCATCATTATTTTGAATTCTAAGGACCATAACAACATAATGGAAAAAATGGGATGTTGACATCAGATTGTATTCTTGCTCAGAAACATGGCATTGTGCTGGGATCTGAGGTGACGGCCAATGGGCAGGTAGCAGACGGGGTGATTGATGGGCGTGCTGATTCGGATACAGCTTCCCGATTGAATCAAGACTCTCACACGCCCCTCATGACTGGAGACAGCATGTTAGGTAAGAAAAACGGTTTCCAGTATTTTTTAACTCACAATCTAAACAAATCAGCTATTGCAGAAGATTTACTTGTTGTAATCAACAAATGTTCACAATTTTGCTTTTATGGTATTTTCTTAATGGATATTGCATTAAGAAATCATTCAAAATATGTTAAGGATTAGAGATTCAACAAAACTATGATGAAGACCAAAACGGTGGGAGGAAATCATTTTGGTGTCATTCCTGTGTCAATTTGTTAAATGAGGAAACGTTGACTGTATAACCCAACCCCAAACCCCCCCCCCCCCCAAAAAAAAGAAAAAAAGAAGTAAAAACAGAAAGAAGTACAAGCTCTGAGGCACATAAACTGGACTATTTTCTATCAGATGCGATCTGAAAACCAGCATGAAGACCAGTGATTTGAAGTTGTCAAAACCCATTATTGCAGTCAATTACAGTAGCCTATAAGGAATGTAGTCAGCTGATAATACAACTGAGAGCGAAGGCCAAGCAAAGACTTGTCCATCTGAGAATGAAGTCAGCACATTTAGTGCACAAATGGTAACAAACTCTTATAAATATGTAGTTCAGTCATGAAACTCTAGATGGCACAGGCTGATTGGTCCTTTACATGCATTCTGCAAGCCATCACACTGTTATCACATGGCACAAGACGATTGGAGCCTGCTGATTCTGCAGTGAGTGAGATTGCTTGTTCAACACTTAAATAGTCTGGTTTGGTGTTCGCTGTTGGGCAGCAAGCTATCAGAGTTCCTCTGAAATCCTCCACCTCCCTCAGCTCCACCTGCTTAGATTTGCTTCAGGATTTATGTATTAATACAGCTGCATATAAATAAAGATGGATTCCTACTCTCAATATATATAAAAAAACACAATTCCAAGTCTACTGGTTGCAGATTTGACACCTCACAGGTAAAGTGCACTCCAGTTAATGTTGAAGAACCTGTAATTATAATCAAACAAAACATGTCAGAGGATAAAGGAGACATTGATTCAAGTGCAGAAACTTGTTTCACTATAAACCATTTAAACCTGAGAATCAGATAATTTCGGAAATTACAGTATATGAACCACAGACCAGACCAGCAGAGAACATTAACTGAATAGAAATCAATGCTGCCATGAATACCTCTCAAGATCTCATGTTTGAACCCACAGACTCTAACGAAGTGGATATATTTAATACCACAGGAGACAATGGTGCACAATCCAGGGACCAGCGAGAGACAGAGGCTGAGCCAGAGTTGCAGTGTGTGGAGGACACGTATAGCATGCCAGTAGAGCACAAGGGCATAGCTTTCCTTCTCGATAGTTGTGAGGAAGCAGTTGCTGGTTTAAATATGCATAGCAGTGAACCTCCAAAAGAAATAATATTCGATGTGAGAGGACTGAGTATAGAAAATGAAACACAGACATTCTTTAAGACAAAGTTTAAAATTAAGAAGATCTTCAACTGCTGTGTGTCATGATTTTTCACAGATTCTTCTTATTCTTTTTTGATTTTCTGATGTTTGTGACAATGTCCTTTTGATTTTATTTTTCATTGAGAAATTATACTTGTGGTGTAATTTTGCATATGTACTTTAAATCTTTAATGTAAATGAGAATGATCCAGACATGTTTTGGGCATGCAAAAGCTGTACATTTCTTTAAATATTCTGAAAAGCTTGATTTTTGAAAACAAATTCCCCAAGAGAAACGTGAATACATTGTGATATGGATAAAAATCCAAATGCATGGACAATTAGATGCATTGCATTTTTGAAGAATATGTACTTCTCCATGTGTGCCAATCATTATCATCATTATCATCATCATCATTGAAATCACTTGTCACCACAAATAAAAAGCAAATACCAAAAATGTTTTATACATAATAATATTCACATCAGTGTATATACAATGTGTATAGTAATAATAATAATAATAACAACACCATATATACATTTTCTATTTTATACACAATATCACAATAATTCATATTAAATAAAAATAGTATTTTTTTTTAATGTTAACTTTTTTATTAATTATATGATATGCTGATTATTATTAATGACTTTTGGGAATATTGCTGGGAAAAAATTTTAAATGAAGATAATTTGACATACAAGAGGAATAAAGCTTTTAATAGACTTTACACAACTGGCTTTAGAAGTAAATATATTTTTTGTTTTCTTTCCTTATTCCTTATCACCCCAACAATCTATTTTGCAATCGAGTCATGCATTTTTGGTCATGTTAAATGCACATTAATTGCATTTTTTATAATTCATTGTATAATTCATTGTAAAATGTTAACAGTTCCAATTTGTATACTATGTGCTACAAAATAAATTATATTAGTGCCTACATCGACTCGTTGTGTATCTTACATTCGATTCTGTATGAGGTTCATGTTCTAGTATATATTTTTGTTTGAATTTTTCAGAGATCAGATTAAGGAAGCTGGTGGAAGAGAGAGAGAGCTTGCTCGACCAGGTGAGTTTTGTCATCTTATGCTTTTCAAGTGATTCATTGTTTTCTGTATAATTGATATTGTGGGAGAGCATCTTATGAAATGCCTGTCATAAGGACTTTGTTAGCATGACTGTGGCACGTCCTGATTTAGACGTGGCAGTTATATTTTGTTGATCCTGGAACAACAAAACTTTTCCGAAAATTGTATCACAACCATATCCTTACCTATAACTTCTCCCTAAAATCAGAGGGAAGTGATAGGTGAATAACACTGATGTAGAAGTACCTAACCCTGGCTGTAAGCCTAAATTTGACATAAACTTTAAATTTGTCCCTCAGATCTTATTAGTTGATTAGAATTTTGTTCCAGGATCAACAAAGATGTTGATCCAGGATCATGTTGCACTTGGTGAAATCAGGTTCTGCTGTGCTGTGTGTGTGTGTGTTTTTGCAGGTACGGAAGCTTAAAGCCACTGCAGAGCAGAAACAGAAGAATGGGACAGAAGAAATGGGAAGCACTGATGAGGATGACCTTCAGAATGGTCTGGACCCTCATATCCTAGATCTGCAGAGTAAGATACACCTTTAAATTTCAATCACTATCAGTCTTGATTTAGGCTGGTTTGTCATATGGAGTTATATGTTTTCATGTGACCTCAAAAATGTTTTGTTTTTTTTTCTACAGGAGATGCTAACAGGCAGATAAGTGACCTGAAATTCAAGTTGGTCAAGTCTGTGCAAGAAGTCACAGCGCTTGAACAAAATGTAAGTCATGATTAACACTGACACAAGACTTTATTCCCAGAGGCACAACATAATCATGCTCTTGCATTCAATTTAATCATCAGTGGTTAATAATATTTTATTTTTAAGTTTTACTTCTCTTTATGCACTATTAATTTTCTTCTGATTGTGGTAACACCAGTTCCACAGTGTTTCATGCATAACCTGCAATCTCTGTCATGTGGCAGATAATTCGGCTGGAGGGTCAGGTGGGCCGCTATAAGATGTCTGCTGAGGCTGCGGAGAAAGTGGAAGATGAATTAAAAGTGGAGAAACGCAAGTTACAAAGAGAGGTACATTATTAAATGATTGGTGGGAAAATGCTAATATTTTGCAACAACTGCACTCTAAAAATGTCAATTATGATGTAGTAATTTTTTGGTGAAATATTCTTATAATTAAAAATATTGAGCACATTTTAAAGCTGTGAAATCAATGAAATATACCTTATGAATAGAGTACATGTAAGAAAAAAATAAAATAGATCTACATTTGGTGCCATGACTAATACAATTAATTAGACCTAACATGTTAAGTTAACGGACCAAAAAAAGAAATGTTGGGCGGGATTTGATTTTGTCCATTGAATATCGACTGGATCATTGTTGTTTGCTATTGCTGCAATAAAGTGATGTCCGGTTTTCGAAAAAAAACAAAAACATTTTTGAACAAAAAAAAAAAGTCTGAAACCGAGTCAGCTCAGATTTGCAAATTACTCAATTAAAAATCACTTTCGGACTTTCAAGGTGACTTAAATGTCTCCTGGCTCATCCTCAACCTGACCACATGCTCTACTCTTCACCGCAATAGTAACAACAAAACATCAATTTAACAGAAACTCCCATGAATCCAAACATAAAAGAACATCCACTAATTTCTCCTACTATATAAATTTTGTGCAAAACACAAAATAACACTAAATTCCGTCAATTACTCTCCTTATACAGTCCGTATCAAAGAATGCTTGGAAAATCAAATTTCCCTCTCTTTGCGCGTGATTGTCCAACTTACTCAATTTCTTAAGTTGCTGTTAAAGATGAGAGAATGTTGAGATGGAATGAGTATTAATAGTAGTTCTTGAAACTGATCAGTATAATTTCTTCATTCTCAAATATTTTGAATGAAATTTAACAAAAATATGAAGTATATCTTAAAAATATAATTTGTGTGTCAAATACTAATTTCTTTTCATAAAACTTAAATAAGAGATTTACATTATAGTCAAAATTAACTGTTGGATTTTCAGACATTTATTTTGGTATGTCCAACTCAACTAACAAGTGATATTCAGAGATTGTATTAATGTAGTATAGTTATTTATTATTGTGTGATATTTACAAAGCCACTGAATGTTTTTAGAGTGTGATGTAACAAATTCCTGCTGTGCTTATTCTAGCTGAGGTCTGCGCTTGACCGTATCGATGAGCTGGAAGCAAGCAACAGCCACCTGACGAAGAGACTAGAGAAGATGAAGGCCAATCGGAGTGCCCTACTGGCACAGCAGTGACGCCCGCCTGTGTCCCATTCCTATCACCCACTGGCACTGATGACTTGCCACCCATATAAAACTAAAATTTCTATCAAAATCAGATCAAATTAGCTCAATCATAATCTTGCTAATTCAGACTTCGAAAAGATAAGTAAGGCTAACAGGCATGAACATCAACCTTCATTTGTTTGCTAGTAGGATTCCAAGCGGAGGACACATCAAAAACAAATTCTTACTGAGGCTCATTAAAGTGACCTTTGGTTTGGATTAGCAGAATTCAGGCCCTCAATGAGCTCTCAATACTTTTTTGACTGGGTTACGGATCTCTGTGTCTGTGTCAGAGCAACACAACACAGGCAGAGCACATCTATGACAGCATGTTACTTTATGGTAGTATGTTGGTTCAGAGGGACATTGACTTAGCAGATCATGCACTTTATCTCTGCATCAGTGTTCAAGTGTGTTACTCGGACACTGTACATGGAACCATTTTGCATAATGAGGTAATGGAAATTGTGTAGTCCAGATATTAAATTAATGAATGTATGCTCTCATACAGAGACAGTTGTGCATTTTCTTGCAATGTTTTGTGCAGACAGGAACTTAACAACAGACATGTGCAGGATATGTGCAACATCACTTTGAACGTTTAATGGGGAATTGTTATAATGTCCATTTTATTTTACGCCAAATCTGTGTGCAAGTGTTGGTTCGTACTTAAATAAGGTGGACTAGCACTTTATGATGTTAGTAATTTTTGTTTACATGCTAATGTTGAGTAAACATCCTGAGAAACTTACATGTATATGAGGACATGGTTACAAAAAACTTTGATGCAATAACAATGCTAATATAACTTTATGGAGTTTATTTGGGTAAAAGCCAATATTGGAAGTATCTGAATCATTGTCCTTGAAAATGTTCTCAGTGGCAGCAATTATTTTTCTTTGTTGCTTTATTGAAGCACTCTTTTTTTCTCACATATCTTTTCAACTAAAGTGGGCCAAATTATGGAAATACTTTTTTGTTTCGTTTAATATGCAGGTTTTAGATCACCTACTCGCTTTCTGTGTATAAAAACAGAGGTCTTGGTCATTGTAATATGGTAAGTAGAAGTAGACAGTATAAGCACAGCTGATCATCAGAATACTGTTTCATATCCAGTTTAAACTCAGATCATACTGCAACAGCATATATCATCGGAGGGCTAAATGGACATTTGAGACGTCACCAGCCTTTATAGATACAATCTGTAACCTGAGTCTTGCTTTCGAAAACATGCTGAGTCAACACAATAAATGGGAGTGCAACTGTTTTTTTGAAGCCGGTCGTTGTAGCACTTTCACTAATGGTCTGTCACTTAAAGAGTGTATCATTAATCTCAATGAATTTGGGGTTTATAGAAATAAACATGGCTTTTTTAAGAAAAAGAAAAAGGAACTGTATTGCAATAATGCTTTTCAGAGTAACTGACCATTACATTTACACAACAAGTTCAGATGTACATCATTATGCTAACAGCTGTGACAATGAATGTCATGATGCTATATCCGCTGGATGATTGTTTGTGGCAAGAAGATGATCCTTTTTGCTGATTGTGAGCTTCAGTTGTATCCCTCCCAGGGTTCTGCAACCATTGGAGACAATGCACCACCTTGTTTACACACTCAGTGAACATACTGTCTCATAAGGACTGATATGCTGAACTTTTGAAATAACAGACAGAGACACACAAATTATATTGTTTACCTGTATTACACCTCTTCTGTAAGACATGGCATAGCAAGAAATAAACTCATGCAATAACACTGACATTTCAGGTTTTTATTTATTTCATTATTTTATTGCATTTTAAGTTTAATAAACGAGAATTACGAAATGAACCTGCTCCCTCAAAACATTGAAAACATGGAAGTGGTGTACATTTGAACAGCAGAGGGCACCCCTAAATTTTCAGCTGATAAATCGGTTCTGCATTTTGGTGTTAAAGATGTTAAAGGCAAATCTTTCAGTAACATGCCATGGTGAAGTCATATGGTTGGCAATAAAAATAATTTATATATATATATATATATATAGACCCAATTTCAGTTAGTAAACATGGTGACGTTTTTTGTGGGTGGAGCTTGTGGAGGCAGAACGATTCCCCTGGCCGCTTCACTAACGTTAGTTTGCAAGTTTTGTTAGCTTGTTTTTTAACAATGACTGGAGAAAATCCGATTTTATCTTAAAATAACTCCAGGACTGCGATTGTTATTAGCTAAAGTTAATTTTAACGGATGGAACCAGATTGGCCAACACGTAAATTATACGCTTACTCAATTATTGGATGATCTTGTAGTGAATGTGACATACATAATTGACCTTTGTTGTTAAGCGTAGTTCTATACACGGTTGGTTATAAACGCAGCACTTTGTTCTTAGCGTGTTTCTTCATGACTGTTCAGGGATCGCAGTCCCTTTAAATGCTCTGAATGTGTGATGACGTGGGATGCTTGTCAGCGCCATTTGTTTTCTGTGTTTACCTTCTAAAAATAAATGACGCACGCATTCGTGTGCTCAAAGTGAGAAGTTGTCACACTGGTGACCCCAACATTAGTCTGCTGGACGTATCCAGAGACAGAACACGACCATGACCGCGAACGCTGTCACCCTCAAACTCCCCGATCTCTGGGAATCGTCAGTATCTGCATGGTTCACCCAGACTGAAGCGCAGTTCGCGTTGCGTGAGATCACCGCGGATACAACAAAATAGTAAATGGTAAATGGACTGCATTTATATAGCGCTTTCACAGACCCAATGGCCACCAAAGCGCTTTACAATTTGCCTCACATTCACCCATTCACTCACTCATTCATACACCGACGGGCGACGGCAGCCATGCAAGGCGCCATCCAGCTCGTCGGGAGCAGCTGGGGTTAGGTGTCTTGCTCATGGACACCTCGACACTTGGTCAGGTGGAACCGAGGATTGAACCACCAACCTTCCGGTTTGTAGACAACCAACATGAACCACTGAGCCACTGCCGCCCCGTATAGTAATACGTTGTGTCGGCTCTTGGAAATTCAACGGCATCTAGGGTGGAAAGCCTTCTTACAAATCCTCCGGCAACTGAGAAGTATGCAGCACTCAAAGCCCACCTGTTGAAAGCGTTTGAACTGTCGGACGCTGAGAGAGCCAGCAGGCTTTTCTCACTTCAAGGACTGGGTGACAGCAAACAGTCCGAGCTCATGGACCGTATTCTGGATCTTTTGGGCGAGCACAGACGTGATTTTCTATTCATCCAGCTTTTCCTGCATCAGCTGCCTTCCCAAGTAAGAGCTGCATTAGCCAACACCACAATCACTGACTGTCGGAGACTGGCTGAAGAGGCTGATAAATTTTTGCTGGCGAGTCAGGGACATTGTGCGGCCACGCTTTTTCCTGCGCACACCGCTTCGGTGACGCGGGATGACTCCAAACTCATCGCTGCAACCACTTCTCGTCCGCAGCAGTATTCTGGCCCCCAACAGCCTTCAGGCTTGTGTTTCTACCATGCAAAGTTTGGAAGCAAGGCTACCAAATGCCGTTCACCATGCAGTTTCGGTGGTTCGGGAAACTCAGTAGTGGCCATGAGTGTCGGCCCCGTAGGCAGGCTGCTTTTCATCCGCGACAGCATCTCCGGACGCCATTTTCTGTGTGACACGGGAGCACAGAGGAGCGTCCTGCCTGCATCCCGTTTGGACATGGTGACCGACAGCCACGGCCCCCCTATGGAAGCTGCCAATGGTAGCCCAATCCGCACATATGGAACGGGGTACGTCAAATTGTGTTTCGGAGGACAGCAGTTCGGCTGGGACTTTGTTACAGCAAAGGTTGCCGTCCCCCTCCTCGGCGCTGATTTTTTGTGTGCATATGGACTGTTGGTGGATGTAAAGAACCGCCGTCTGATTGACGTCGTCACGTTTTGTTCTTATATGTGCACGCTCAGCGAGGCCGATTCCATACGACTGTCTAGCATGCTCTCAGCTTCCGGTGATTTCCACCCTCTACTTGCCAGTTTCCCAGGCCACTTTCTCTGCATCTGCCGTGAAGCATGGTGTGGAGCACTATCTCGCCACTACTGGTCCACCCGTCTACGTCCGCGCTCGGCGCCTCGACCCGACCAAGCTTGCCGTTGCAGAGGCTGAGTTTACAAACATGGAACGCCTGGGCATAGTCCGCCGATCCGACAGCCCGTGGGCATCACCCCTCCACATCGTCCCCAAACCTGACAGCGGCTGGTGCACGTGTAGCGACTACCGGCGGCTTAATGAGGCAACGGCACCTGACTAATACCCAGTCCCGAGCATACAGGATTTTTCAGCACACCTGGCTGGCAAGGTGATTTTTTCCAAGGTGGACCTCGTCCGGGGATTTCATCAGATGCCGGTACTCCCACTGGACATTCCCAAAACGGCAGTGATCACGCCGTTTGGTCTGTTTGAGTTCCTGCGCATGCCGTTCGGCCTTAAAAACGCCCCCCAATCTTTTTAGCGCCTCATGGACTCTGTTTTGCGGGACCTGCCTTTACTTTTTGTGTACTTGGATGACATCCTGGTAGCGAGTGCGTCCAGGTCTCAGCACCTGGCGGACCTCCGAACCCTTTTTGAGCGGCTTAGCCAACATGGATTAATTGTCAACCCCGCCAAGTGCCAGTTCGGTCTCTCCACCATTGGTCAACACACAACTGAAAAAAATGACAGGTACAGGTTAATGAACAACAATACATTGAAAGAAGTTACATTACATTTGGTTTAGATCAGGAACAGGTCCCAGGGACATCTGAAAGAAAGAAAGAAAGAAAGAAAGAAAGAAAGAAAGAAAGAAAGAAAGAAAGAAAGAAAGAAAGAAAGAAAGAAAGAAAGAAAGAAAGAAAGAAAGAAAGACAGGCATGAACAGACCGATGAGCATGACGAGGTGAGGTCTGCATATATCTGGAGAAAAAACCTATACAATTCAAATAAACAGAGCAACAATAATCTTAAAACAAGCAACATTATACATAAACCGCAAACTTTGGCATACTTTTACAGCACATGCAACCACAGACTGAAGCTGAGTGTGTTCAAGAACAGAGCACAGATGAAGTGCAGGTGGGATTCATGAACAAAATCAAACATAATTTTAAATCACAAAATATGTGTGTGTGTGTGTGTGTGTGTGTGTGTGTGTGCGTGTGTGTGTGTGTGCGTGTGTGTGTGTGTGTGTCACTCGTGCATTGTTGCATCATAAAGAGCCAGCTGGGTTTGTTAAGTAGGCCCAGAGCTGTACGCCAAAGTAATTAGTAGCGGGACCACCTATGAGGACGGGCATGCACTAGTAACACATAAAACAGAAACCTCCTCAATCATCCATCCTTCGAAGGATTAATCCATATGGAGTTGATTTCTTGCACATGGAATGAACCTAGTCCTAGACAGAAAGTCTTTAGTCTAGGAGTAGGTTTATTCTATGTACATGTTAACAAGTCTATATGGATTAACCCTTTGAAAGATATTATGATCTCGTTTGAATTGTGCCCTGAATTACACATATGATGTTTGTCAATTTAAAAGATACATTTTAAAGTCAAGAAAGTCGCAGTTTGATGTAAAACTGTTGAGGTATAAGACTGTGAAAATACATAATTACAAAGAGAACAAACCCAAAAGGCGCACATGTGACGTCATACCTTTTCTCTCAACTTTTCTCTTTTCTCTTTCAGCTAACATCTGTCATTTTTTCTATAGTCTAACGTTATAATCGTAATGTTACGCCGTCATGCCTGTGTTTTTTGTACTAGACTGCATACATATGAGCTTGGTGACGTACATAGTGCGATACGAGAGATGTAGTTCATTGAGCGATTTTCACATAAAACAAAATGTTACTCTTCTGTTTTATGACAAACTGCGACTTTCTTGACTTTCATAATTATCTTGTAGATTGACAAACATCATATGTGTAATTAAGGGCACAGTTCAGACGGAATAAAAAGATAAGTTGTCTCTCGCCATTGACCACCAGTCATATTTGTCCTGAAATAAAGCCCCATGAGCCGGAAGCGGAGGGGAGGGACTTAGGCTCTCTATACAATAGTTTTTAAATCAATAAACAATAAATCAATATTTTTTGTCAAATTATTGATTTATTTGGTAGGTAGCCATGTAATAAGCGGGATAATGTAGAGCGAGGCGGTTGTTATAGCAAATACAACCCCTTCAGGCTGATTCAAAACTGATCCGACTGATTCCTGATCAGCCTGTCGGGGTTGTATTCGCTATAACAACCGCCTCGCTCTACATTATCCCTTACACAGCACACACTGTCCACACAGCAAATAGCCATTACCTTCATTGGAACATGGCATACACAACTCTTTGGCACATTTAAGGCTGAATAGGTAGTAGCAGACAGTTGTCCAGCTTGTCCGCTCACTCACTCACACAACAAACTATTTACAAAAATGATTCCACTTACTAAACTACTACATTATTTACAGAAATAACTATTTACAAAAGTGATGCCATTAACTAAACTCAGTGATGGAGTACTCGAGTCCTGGACTCGGACTCGAGTCCGACTCGAGTCCTTATTCTCTGGACTCGAGTCCGACTCGAGACTCCATGCTCTGGACTCGTGACTCGACTTGGACTCGCGGACTGATGACTAGTACTTGGTCACGGACTCGAGATTCATAAAATCGGACTTGAGCATTCATCAAATGAATGACGTTGTTTCTGACTAAATAGGTTATAAAAATTTGATATAAGATGTTCCACTTTTCCTGTTTCGGGGCCCAAGACC